AAATATGGAGAGTGGAAGAGTAGAGAGAAAATAAAGAGAATGACATATTGTAGAATAAAGGTGTTTTTTTTTTTTTTTGAAAGAGTGGGTATTTAATAATAATAAAATTATGTTCTCCCAACCCTTTAACTAGCCATTTTTAGCCATTAGAGCCTCCTCTAACATTCAAAATAAGTCCTTCAACGACTAAATGGGGGAAAATGACATCGGGACTGGACCAGTCCCTACTAACTTCACCTCAGGACCAGGTAATGTTGACGGAGGCGGAGGGCGGTCGTTGACTGAGACCGGAAAACCAATCTCAGGTCGGTCTTACAGAGTATCAGGCCGGTCAGGACCGGTGAACCAGGTCCACCCCTACTCCCTAGCTCCGTAGCTGCAATAGTGTATGCATTGATATATGCCATATTCTAATTATGTAATTAATTATTGGTACTTGAGGAAATCAAACATCTAATTCCGGAAATTTCATCTTCTTTTGCTTACTGGGAAGTGTAAAATCTACTTCCTGTTTTTTGTAATAAGAATCTGACCTTGCCTTAGATAACTTCAATATTTGGTCATTTCTCCTATGATGATCAAAAATATTTGACTGGTATGTCTCACTTCATTATTGAAGAAAATTTATCTTTTATTTTTTCTGAAAGTCTTGCTTTGAAAGAATATGCTAGCGGTACTTTAAATCCTTAATTTCGAAACTATAATCGCGAAACGATTAAAAAAGAAGTTATAAGGTAATATGTTTAGGAAAAGGAAAAATTACAAATATTTTTCGCAAACTTTGATGGACGTATTACTATTTGTAGTGATATATGGGAGGATACTCATCATCATTTATATTATTTGGATGTGACTGCACATTATATTGATGGTGATTGGGAAATGCATAAACGTGTTCTTGCTTTTCGTGAATTTAATGATCGACACACCGCCGATAATATTTATATTCTGCTTGAGCGTATTTTAATTGAGTACAATTTGAATGATAAGGTGTTTGCAATGAGTTTTGATAATGTTAGTAATAATACTGTTGTTATACCTAGATTGCGTGAATTGTGTGGTTCTTCTACTTTGATGGGTAGTTTTTTCATCAGCGTTGTGCATGTCATATTTTAAATTTATGTGTAAAAGACGGGCTAGCCGCGTTGGGAGATGCTATGGAGGTAGTGAATGGCGAATTAAACTTATTTGGGCTAGTAATCCATTAAAAATGCAATGACGTCAATATTTGAGGGATAGACATGTCAAATATTGTGCTCTTTCTAAAGATTTATCTATTCGTAGGAATAGTACTTATAACTTAATATCTGTACTTATTAGATTTAAAGACCATTTTCCTGCTTTTTTAAGAGAATATGCTAACTATATTATAAACCCGGCCGACATCGACAATATGGAAGAAATTGTGAATGTTTAGGTGTTTTTTAAAAATGCAACTCAAACTTTTAGTCATGTTTATACACCTACCACAAACCAATTTTTTGTTGAACCGTTTAATCTCGACGACGCTTTTTGTGACTTTTCCGATGCCCCTTACGTTAGTTATTTTTGTTCTTACATTAAAGAGAAGTTTTTAAAATATTATTCACATATTCCGCATATATATTGTATTGCATTTATTCTTGATCCTCGTTATAAACTTGATTTTTGGGGCAATGTTTAGATTACTATTATGCTTCTTCTTTTTTGTCCATTTCCTATGTACGAGGATAAGCTCATAGATCCTAAACAAGAATACCAAGAGGTTAGTAATTTTTTATATCAATTATTTAATGAGTTTAATGCACAATATGGTAATGAGTTTCCTGGACCAACTCCTCTTTGTCCTTCGAAGGGTACTAAGACCTCTTCTTATTCTTCTTGAGTGGATAGCAGAAGGGACTTAGGCCATGTTTGGTAGTGAATATGGCATGTTCTGCTTATCAAAAGAATAAACAGAGTAAATAAATTTTGATTTACTTATTTAGCAAACATAGATGTTACCTAACAGTGTTCTTTAACCCGCCAAGAATTTCAATTTAAGTGAATCCTAGTTCTACTTGCCATTAGAGAAAGGCTTTTACAATGCAAACAATATATAGTTATATACACAACAAAGAGAAAATATGAAAAGAAAAAAGATCTCAAACTAAACCATCAAAATAAAACAGGTACTTTAAGTTACGAAGGAAGTCGAGCAATTTCTCATACTGTCCTTGCAACCATGCCCCCGCCATATGCTACAACGGTAGCAAGTGCAGAAGTGCTTTCTTGGACTCTCTAAGAAGCCTAAACTCAAAAGGGTACCCTACAAATGTCCCTCCAAATTTCTTGGATCATTCTTTAGTTTTCATGATGGGTGTTGGTAGTAACCCATGCCCGTCTTGCTTAAACAGAACCCGAATTGTTGCAGATATTAACAACCTTTGCTTTGTTATGCCTAATATTGCTTAATTGCTCTCCTTCAAGCACATTACTATAACATAACAATATAAAAATATAAAGAAGATTAACGATAAAAAAAAATAGAGAGGAAAGGTAAAAAAGTCATCAATCGTCCACACGGATGTGTGCCCTCCACTTTGCTCTCTCCAAAGTCATATTTATATTAGTGGTGGACTCGGGCCTGTTCGGGCCCGGTCGAGCCTCCGGTTTATAATAGGTGGGCCCGGGACCGGCCCGAGGTAAGAACGGTTCCGGTGCGGGCCGGGCCACCCGCCCGGGTCACGGGTCGGGCCGGGTAAACCAATTTTTTTCTTTTTACTTATTTATACTTTATAGTTTTATACAAGTATTAAAAACAAACTTCAAGTGCATTTATTTGAAATGAAATAGGAACTACATTTGACAATTGAGAAAAAAATGCAATATGAAATAAATTTGGTAATCAATCAGAATTTCCCGGTCCTTTGACTTAATATGCTTCTTGGTCATCCCGTATCCGCGTGAAACCCCCAAGCTACACTTTGTACCCATTTACTAATTAATGGGAGTAATAGAATGAATTTAATTAATATTAATATACTAATTAATATAGTTCGAATTAATTAGATATAGTTCGAAGATAATAAGTATGTAAATTGTAAGTAGATAAGTAGATATGTATTAAGTAGATAATAAGTATTAAGTAGAATTGTAAGTAGATAATAAGTATGTAAAATGTATTAAGTAGATGTAAATTGTAATATGTATGTATTTAGTAGATATAAGTAGATAATAAGTAGAGATTAAGTAGATAAGAAATATAAGTAATATAATATATGTATTTATAAATAGATAATTAATATATAAGTAGATAAGAAATATAAGTAATATAATATATGTATTTATAAGTAGATCAATAATATAAGTAGATATATAATATATTGAAGAATAAGAGAATTTGAGAAGATGAAGATAATTAGAGAGTAGAGAGTAGGATTTGGGAAGAGTTGGAGAAGAGATGGAAAAATGTTTAAAATTAAGAGTATTTATAGTTTTTTTTTACCCCACTCCCACCCCATCCACCACCCTCCCCCCTCCCCCCAAGCTGCCCGGACCCCCCTTGCCAGCCCACCCAACGGCTATATAGCCGTTTGGGTAGTCCCAGCTCAGCCTAACGGCTCTTTTGGCCCAAAACAAAAAAAAAATGACCGTTGTGACCCGGGCCCGACCCGGCCGGGTCACATTTTGCCGGAACCGAGACCGCCTCCCGCTGCCCCCCCCCCCCCCCCCCCCCCCCCTCCCCGGTTCAGGTCTACACCCGGTCCTGGACCGCCAAACCGGGCCGGGTGGCCCGAACCGAATCCACCCCTAACTTATATATGGAAGATTCATTCTCATTTGTTACAGGTATATGGTTTTTGCATTGTCATCAGGAGATTCATACAAAATTGGGAACTAAAGATGGCATTTTTGGTGGAAAATGGTGAGGACCCTAAAGAATCTATCCTTCCTCCTCCAAGTGACCTCCCTAAATGCTGATGCCATAAAAGCAAAGCAGAGTCAACCAATAAAGTTGTTTCAACTGCAAAAGAAACACAACTACCTTCAATGAGCAAAAGCTCTTACATTGATTTGATTGTATAAATACGGGTTCCTGATTTGTTATGGCTTTCTGTATAAAGTTTTATGTTTTGGCTTAAAATCCTGACTTTCAAATGTGGATATTTGCACACTAATATTGTTAAAAGAATTGCGGGAAATTTGGTTATTACTGTATGAACACAAATGTAATTTAATTATACAGAGTACATCTTTAGTGTAAGTTTACTTTACACACATTTCATTACATCTTACCAAACTACACCTAAAAGCAGCAACACAAGAAAGAGGAAACGTGCCAACTAAAAAGAATTACTCCATATTGTACAAGAAAGATTTCACTCCATGATCTGGTAGAGTATTTGTTTGCGGCATATAACAAAAAAAAAACTAAATCCATAGAAAACAGACAAGTTTATTACAGCGGTAGAAATTAGGAAACAACAAAAGGTGTAAAAAGGAAAGTACAAATCCCTAACCAGCAAGTTCCATGCTGTTCGTCTCCAAACAGATGACCGTTTCTGGAAAATCCGTCCTCCGTCCAGCAAGTGAGTAATAAGCGAGTATATGGGCAGGATGGTCAGCGGACACAATCTCACCATCCTCACCCACTGAGATGACCCGTCTTGCAGGAATGACCTCAATGTTCCAAAAAGGGCGGGTCATGAGCAACAGATCCTGCCCGATTGAAGACTGCCTGAACCCTTGCACCCACAAATACCGCAGAGATCTCATCTTCAATGAAGCCGTAGCAAGTGCGTGTTCGCTAAAGAAACAGCCCCTCACTTCAAGCTTCTGCAGGCTCGGGCACCCATTTGAGAACTGTAGAAGCCCATCATCTGATTCCCCAACATACCCAAGAAGCATCCACCTCACATTCGGGCTATACTGGCCCACATATTTCAATCCCTCATCAGTTAGCCCACCTGACCGGAGATACAAGGCGAACCTTATAAGCAAACGGCAGCCCCTTAACAAAGAGCGCACCCCATTATCTAGCGGGAGGTCTGTTATCCTTTCTTCACGATCAAGAAGAACCAAACGGAAATCGGAGAGATGTTTCATATGGTTGCCAATGTAATCAAGGGCTTGGTTTGTGATGTCTGATACATAAACCGCGAAGTATTGGAGTTCATGACATCCCTGCGATAAGGCAATGAGTCCTCTCTGCGTGACAGAACCCTCTTCATCCTCCATTCCTTGTTCGTCAGCTCCTCTCTCAATCCTCAGCCTCTTCAACTTCTTGCAAAAGCGGGAAAGAACTTCTAATCCTCGGTCTCCTATTACATTTCTTGCCTGTTCATAAAGTTTTTGTGCTTTGAAAGTCATTTACAAAAAAGGGAGGGGGACCAAGCAGTTCGTGTGATCTTAAATTTGTAACATACCCTTAAGACTTTTTAGAAGGAAATCACAAATAGTATACACTTCCTTAAAAACATAAAGAAGGCTATGTACATGGACAGTTTGCGACTATAAAATTCAATTCAAATTAAGGAAAAAATATAAGCATTTCAAAAGTATTTTGATTAAGCCAAGCATACCCTTTATAGAAAAAAATTATAGAGAGCAGACTTCAATAGAGAACAGCTGTCGCATAACCCTGCTCTTCTCAAATAACTATCTATTAAGGGAACAATATACCCCCTTATTGATTTCCAAGTATTAAAGGTAGCAACAATTGCGAAATTAAAACATTATCAGGTCGCATTCATCATAAACAAGAGGAGAGACAAACACACATAAAATAACCAAGTTGCATTTAATAGACACAAAGCTAAGATTCAAACTAACCTCTAAAATTTCCAAATTCACACACTTTTCCAGTAAGGTGCAGTGACCTTGAGTGTCAAGTAGTGCATATAGAAGATCCAACTTTCTAAGACGGGAACAGATAGGGAAGAGAATCGGCATTTCATTTATTCCCAAATATGTCAGCCCGAGAGAACACAGCCTGGGAGGAAAAGTGATATCAGCATACTGCCTGTTTTCACCAATGGGGTCCGGTACACTGAAAGAACCGCCTGCAAATTCTTCTAATGCAGTTGCTGCTCGAAAGAAGCCAAAAAGGGAAGACATGTCAGATTCACAGATTTTCATTGACACAAGGTGTGGAGAATTCCTGGCTATCAATTCAATGTCTTCAGGTTTGACACTCAAAAGCTCTGTCATGTAAAAGTTGAGATTCTCAAGAACTTTGTTGTTCACCGCAAGCTCATGAAGCCATTCCCCATCTTTCTCAGCTATTGTGCTTTCTTCTAGAACAAATGTGCTTAAGTTCCTTTGAGAAAAGGTGAGCAACAAATACACATATAAGTCATTTTAGATTTTATTTTTAACTATGACGAGTTCCCCGGATTTCAAAATCAAAAGGAAAAAAAAGGAAAATACATATGCAACAATCAGTAATATAAAGAATAATCAGTAAATGTTGCTAATTACAGGAATTAATGAGAAGCCCATAGATCTATGGAAAATGCTATTAGTCAATCCCTATAATTACTTTTTCTAAAAGTGACACAAAATAGATATGCTTTTTGTAAGATTTTTCGTAAGTGTTTTTGTACTTATAGCAAGACTGAGATTAAATTTAGCTGAATATTCCGTTTTGGAAAAGAGACTAACTCAACCAAACCCAACAACCCACACAACCAAAAGAGCCTTTTTAGAATATACAGATTAAGACATTTACACTAAAGAGCGAAGGTGCTAAAGTACCAAGATAAAAATCAAAGGAACAAAATTACAACCAATAATCGCTGATCCATCAATTATGCTAATTGAAAACAATTGTCACCCTTTGTGAAGGAAACCAACCCATCGCACCAACACTGCATTTTCAGCATTTATAGAACATAAAATTGCACTATAGCACCAAGAGAAAATTGAAAGGTAACTAAAACATTTAAAGCAATCAGCATTACAACTTGTAATGACTTCACATAAAGAAAATAATTAGTAATCACTAATCCAGCAATGTTTTCTAATTATAGGAATTAATGAAAACCATGTGCACTTTTACCAATATCTAGAACAAAAAACTAAACCCCATCCCTACCCCCCACCTCCACCTCAAACAAACAGTCTTAAAAACATTTACAGAAAAAGAACATACATTTAAGAACTAGGAAACTAAAGGCAAGTGCTAAAGATAACTACATTTCAATGAAATCGAAGACCATGAAAAGAAAACATCAATTGGCCAAGTTATATCCCACAAAATAAAACTCAACAACAACAACATTACCCCAGTGCCGCAAAGGCTCCCACCTACGCTGGAGTAAGGGGGTCAGATGTACGCAACCTTACCCCTATACTAAAGCAGGGAGAGACCATTTCCGGATGACCCATGAAGAAAAAGAACATGCATTAAAGAACTAGGAAACTAAAGGCCTATTATGATGAAGTCCACAAAATAAAACTTAATGAAGGAAAAATTAAAACAAAAAACATCTGCAACAATCAGTATTATAATGAGTTAATCACTAATCCAGTAAATGCTGCTAATTATAGCTATTTATGAAAAGCATATTTAATTACCCCTCTGGCAAGGAAAGTAAGACACTAACCCACCCCACCCAAAGAGCCTGAAGAGAATTTAAGTAGCGGTAGTTTACAATCGTTACACAAAAAATCCAAAACTGAAAGAAAGGAAATCATAATATGGCCAAATTAAAGCCCACACAATAGAATTCAAAGCAGATGACAACTACAACAACATCCAGGCCTTAATCCCAAAAGATTTTGGGGTCTGGTAACATGAATCGATTCATTATATCGATGCCAAAAATTGAAGACAGACAAGAACAAGAAGAAAAAAAAGTAAGATAAAATGGATAAGATAAAGACAAATAAATACTATAAGATAACAATAACATAAGAATATAAGAAAGATAAAAGATAAAAAAGATAAAAAACATAAAAAGCTAGACGATAAAAATAACATAAGAACATAAAAAGATAAAGAAGATGAAACAGGGGCAAAAAACTTGGAAACAATTATATTTAGCTAATTGTACTCATTTATTGCAAGCCTAGGCAATAGGTTTAATACCCCCCTTTAGTAGCAACAAAACTAACCCCACCCCCACCCCTAACTCACCCAAACAGCCTTAAAAGAATTGTACAGAAGAAGAATTTATATAGGGCCAAGAAACCAATGACCCATACTTAAATAATGGCAAATAAAAGGATAAAAGCATCTTAAGACATCAGTATTATTATAATTAGAAATCCAATAAGTTTTGCTAATTATAGAAATATATGTAAAGCCTAGACAATTAGTTCAATAATGCCCCTCTGACAAAGAAACTAATCCCACTCAAACCAAGAACACTTTTTAGCATTTACAAAACAAGAGCTTACACTAAAGAACCAGGAAACTAAAGAGCCGTACTAAAGATAATTAAAATTCAACAAGAAAGATGAAAGAAATAAACTTTTAAAACAATTACTATCACTAATCTCACTAATGAGCTAATCCAGTAAACTTTGCTAATTATAGCAATTTATGAAAATCCTAGACCATTATCCCCACCTTGGTAAAGAAACTAACCACTCCCACCCCACCAAAACAGACTTAAAAGAATTTCACAGAACAAGAAATCGTACTAAAGAACCAAGAAACAAAACAAGCATACTATAGAAATTTGCAGAACAACAAACTTCACTGAAGGGAACAAAAACTTCAATCTTTCTTTCTTTTACCTGCAGGATTGGCAAATCTTCAAGAGACCATCGGTGGAGAACCCAGAGCATTTGTCGAGCTTGAGAGACTGAAGAAGCAAACCACGCGAGCGAGCCAGATTATCTAGATCGGAATCGGTGACAATCATCCTGCGCAAGTGGAGAGCCTTCAATTGTTTGAAGGATTTGGCGATTTCTTCTACCCATGGGGTAGCGTGACCGCCCCAGTCTTCCGGTATGAGGTTGAACATGGCGGCGCGTGGCTTTCCCTTGAGCTTGAGCGACTCCAGGTGGGGGAAACGGCGAGATAGACGACACGGCGTGGCGGTGTAGCAGAACGCCATCGTCACGTGCTTGCGCGTGATGGCGTCGATGTCGTACCACCTCTTGCACACAAGGGACACCGACCCGCGGTCTCTCGAGTCGTGAATGTAAGGTATCACCCGATCCCACACGGCGTCGTAGACGGCGGCCATTCTTTTCCCCTCACTGTCCTCCATGTTCAGTTCAAGAAAACAGAACAAGGAAAATGAAGGGGAATCCAGAAACACAAGTACAGAATTTCAGGGTCACCAAAAAGAAAGTTCAAGATTCAGGAGAGAGATCGGTCGTAGAAAGCGTGAAGATTAAAGAGTGTCGCCGGCGGCGGGGGAGAAGAGTGAAATAGCGGACGACCTATAGGCTATACCGCTATACGGATCAAGTTGGAAGCTAGAGCTAAAAATGAGAGTTCTTGATGAAGGACACGTGGCGATCCAGGATTTATTATGATTTTGGAGATTCACAGTCGGAGTAAAATTTTCATTTTTCACTGATTTACAATTGGCTCCGCCGCCTTTTAGCCTTTTTAGTTATTCTCTAATTTGAAGTTTACTGAATTAATGTCTTTGTTAGACATACTTACTCCGTGTATCAAGTTACTCGTATTTTTTTTTTTTGAGGGAACTCCGTATTAAGTTATTATTACCGTGAAAGGGACTGAAAGCTGAGTTTTTTCACCCTTCATATTCTCCCACGCAATAATGCAGGTAATCATTTGTATGCTGAAAATTGAAACCATTAGTTCATAAAACAATTGTTCCAAAGGTGGAGTCCCCCATCCTAATCCGACGGAATGAAGGAGGGGTAAGTCATTGTGACTCAGTCTATCCAAAGGTGGTAGATCTTATACTCGTGAACATTATAGATACAGTCCAGCACGCAGCAACTGTAACCTCCACATGGTCGATACGTGTTTCAAACTTTGGTCATTGTTCCAAACTTCCCAACACTCAACCAACTGAGCTACTTGTGCATGTATTATTTCATAAAACAAAATCACAATTTTTTTTCTAGTTTGTATAATAAAGTAAAAATGGTGCGATCCCACCATATGCACAAGATGGGAGGAGTATTTATCAGATAGTAACTTATTTTGCCAGTATTATTATTGGTTGTGTTCCCTCAAAAGGTCGAATCTCCAATCTCGAAGGCCCCCACGCCTTGACCCAACAAAGGCATACTGAAGGTTATAAATCACAGTAACTAAATCAGCCCAATAGTGATAAATTTTGTACTTGTGTGCACCAGATGTCTAATTCAGTATACAGGAATTGTAACTTTCACATGGTTGTTGCGGTTGCACGTTTTTATCAGTGGTGTGAAAATGCCAACCCGTTCTAATTGAAGGACGGGCCAAAAGACATGTAGGTAGACTTTAGTACTCTCAAAACTCAAAAGTATGTCACCACTCTCATTAGGGAAAAGCTAAAGAGAGAGAGAGTTATCTTCGGTTGAGAAAAATGAATTTGAAGATTTCTCTTAAGAAGAGTGAAAATGGTCCCAAGGTTTATGGTTAAATGCAAATTTGGTCATATATGGGTCACCATGCAACTTCATTATTTCCACATCTCTAGCCCCTCTCTGTATAGATCCATCTCAACTATTGCATAGATTTTGATCTCGCTTGGAAAATGGGTGGTCATCCAATATTTGATTTCTTTGACTATAATTAATGAATGTCACTGTTTATGTAATTAAAATTGTTGTCTAGTAAACAACTAAAAATAAAATGGTAGAAGGTGGCAAGCTAACCTATAAATCTGTCGATAATCTAATACTTAAAAGATTCTAATTGAGTGTTTCTAACAAGCTCACGTATCTAATTAGGGCTGAGCAAAACCAACCCTACCCGAAAAACCCGACCGAATTACTCCGAATTTTTAAGAATGGGTCGGTTGACCCGACCCGAATCCTTGAAACCGACCCGCCAGCCCGATTTGCTTGGCCCGAGACCCAGCGGGTAGGGTTCTCCTAATCCCTACCCGACCCGCCCAAAAACCCGACCTAGCCTAAGCCCATTTCCCCCAAGCCCATAACCCATAAGGCCATATTACCCTTATCCGGTTATCCCTTCCCCCACATAACCCTAAGTTACACTCTATCTCTATTCTCTAACTCTCTAAGCGGCTAACCCTAACCCTAACATACACTCTCTACGACTCAGAGCCTCAGAGCAGTGAGAGACTCTGACTTCTCAATTCATCGGCCGCCGTTGGCATCGCTGTAGGGCTGTAGTCCTCAACCTAGTGTAAGTGTGGAAGCCTTGATAGTCTTCTAGCCCAGCGTGAATAGTTGAGACTTGAGATTTGAGACTGATTCCCAATCATTCTTCTTCGAGCCTTTGAGGTATAAAATACTTTAAAATGTTTGTACAATGGTATGATTAGTCCTTCATGATGCATGCATGTTCTGAGTTTTCAGTTGTGAACTTGTGATGTTCGTATATATTTCTGAAACTTGTGTGTTGACTGAATGACTGTTGAGTTCACACTTGATTTCTGAGTTCAGTCATGTACAGATCTGTTCGAATGTTTGCTTGTCCAGTTGTCCCTGTTAATTGTTGATCTATATTAGTATATATACACACCTGATGTCCTGATTGAGTTACTGTCTTACTGACTGCATATGTACAACTCTTATAATGCATTCAGAATTTCAAATCTGTTTATTAAAAATATGAATGAAGTGTGGAAGCTATATATTATATAATGAAGTGTGGAAGCTCTTACTGACTCCTTATGTACAGCTCTTATTCATGTGTTGCCTACTTGCCTACTGAGTACTGGCTAGTGTGGAGATGTTATAGAAATAATGGATGGAAATGATGGATGGTGGAGATGCTGCTCCTACTGGATCCTCTATTGTGCCATTAAGTGTACAATTTCTATATTTATATTGTGCATTTGTGCCATTATGTGCTTGGTTTTCCATTTGAATGTGTATGAACATGAATACATGACTCTATGATTTGGCATTAGCTATGATGAAGCTTCCACTCATTACTGCATATAGGGTTTAGGGTTGGTATTGCTCTTTCAGTTCATAAAATGATAAGTTGCAACTGAAATTGTAGCAGATGCCCCCTATTTCCCTTGTGAATGATAAAAAGCATTCTGAGCTCTATGAAATGCCTGGTTTGTTTCATTATGTGCTTGTTTTTTCATTTGAATGTGTATGAACATGAATACATGACTCTATGATTTGGCATTGGCTATGATGAAGCTTCCACTCATTACTGGTACTGCATATAGGGTTTAGGGTTGATATTGCTCTTTTAGTTCATGAATGGTAACTTGTAAGTTGTAACTGAAATGGTAGGCTATAACAGATGCCCCTTATTTCCCTTGTGAATGATGATAAGCATTCCGAGCTCTATGAAATGTCTGATTTGTGCCATTATATGCTTGTTTTTCCATTTGAATGTGTATGAAACATGAGTACATTGCTATATGATTTGGTGTTGGACCTGCTGCCAATATGAGTATAATGTATTACACTATTATGCGCTTGTTACATTTGAATGAGCATGATTCTGTCATTCTGGAAAGCATGCACATGCTGCCAAGTGCCAACTATCCCTGGACCCTTGTACCTTGCTCTGATTTGCAGGTTTTGTGTAAGTATCTCATAATCCCATTAATCCTTTACTCTATCATTTCTATTAATTTTCATTGGCTATGATGAAGCTTCCACACATTACTGAATGTATGGTTTAAGGTTGGTATAGCTCTTTCAGTTCATAACATGTAAGTTTTAACTGAAATTGTAGCAGTTGCCCCTATATTCCTTGTGAAGGATAACAAGCATTTTGAGTCAGTGAATCAATGATTTCTCTGATTTGTTTCATTAACTTATCCTTGTTAAGTTGTTATTGACATATTGTACTACTCTACTACATGTCTATTTCTTTCCATGTGTTCATTAACTTTCTTATGCAGGTGGAAACTTCAAACTGTGGAAGATAGTTGTGGAACTTCAAAGTCTTCAAGCATTTTTGCATTTTTGTGTACTTGACTAGTTGGAACTTTGTATGTTAATGAACTGTGTAATTCAGTAATCTGTATTTTGTAATATGCTAAAACTCTTTGTTACAATTTTGATCCCCCCTACTCTTTACTTTGTAATATTCACATTATTTATGGCCGTATGGGAATCAAATTATGTTTTGCAATTGTAATATTTTAGATTTACTGGTGTTGAAATTACAAATTATTTTGCAATTTCAAATTATTTTAGTTGAAACTTGAAACCGACTAAACCCGATACCCGATCCGAACCCGCCCTACCCGAAATACAATAAAACCCGAAAATATCTAAGTAAAAAAACATATGGTAGGATATCCATATTACACATCCGAAACCCGAAAGGGTATTGGGTTCACCCACCCGCCCGACCCGAACCCGCCCGATGCTCACCCCTATATCTAATTGTGTGTTTCTTAGGTATGAGACTTAATTGAAGATGGAAAGATAATGGCAGAACTTGTTTGATTGTTTTCCTTATATGAGTTATATCTATGACAGACATATACCATTCACACTTTAGGTCCTAAATTTTATTTGAGTTTTATATATGGTCGTGGGAACCAAGCCTCATTTCCCTCAAAATCACATTGCTTGAGGTGAATATATGAGTCGAAGTTGGGTCCTCATTTTGAGAGTGTGTGTGTGGGGGCCGGGAATGGTTCGAGTGGACCAATTCCTAGGTTTATGCTCCCTTGTGGAAGGTCTTGAATTCAAGTCATTAAAGAGGTAATTAAATTTGGAAGGCTTTTCTCAAATTATGATTTTCTATCCAAGGGGCTAGCTCGAATGGTTGTGTGATCAGTGTCTCATCTCCCCTCAAACAATACTATGGGACTTAGTTTCTTGCTAAAAACCTGATGGTATTATATTTGATCAATTAGTCGCTGTTCTCCGGAACTATGAACTATGATGGGAATCTAAGGACATGCAATCAATTCGTCAAGAGAGGTTTCTTATGTGCGTTGATGGTCGTGGAAACCTAGCTCTGATTATTCGAATGATTCGGATTTATTTCTCAAGGTTTGAAGTTAGTTTATTAAAGCCCAAAATTAATGTGACAAAGTCGATGTTACTTGGTGCTAAAAAAGGTAAGAGTTAAATGAAGGCCCTTGGGTGAAAACATGGAGAAATACACAAGCGAACCACCACTTATAAAAGAGAGACCAACATTGTCAAAAGGATAAAAGATGACTTACTAAGGGAGTGCTTGTGATTACTTCTATTTTCTAAAAAAAAAGATTTTGGAGAAAGTGCATAATAGTAAAAGTTGGTACTGTTTGAGAAAAAAGTGTTTTTACAAAAGTAAAAGTTGGTGATGCTTGGTAAAATAAGTGTTACTTGTATAATAGAAAGGGTG